ATACACGCCACCCAAACCCGCGCACTCACCTGTACGTACACTGACACTCGTGCGCATCTCCACATCCTCCCACAAAGCACAGCAGTCGGTGTGTGTCCAGTCGTACATACAGCTGCAGCAAAGCAATGTCCACAGCCCTCAACCGCTGGTCTCTTCTGTCCCCTTTTGCCAATGTCTTGGCTCTCCCGTGTGTTTCTCCTGAGAGTCTCTCCGTCCCTTCCGTGGTCCTTGGGGTGGCACTTGTCGGATGTGTCGTATCCACCCCTTCTGCAGGATGTGTCGTATCTACCTCTTCTGCAGTCTGGTTTTCCGGCGTGGTCTCACCCGTGGTCGTATTCTCCCCATCCCCAGCCTGCTCACTCTGGCCCTGTTGGCGGAGTGTGTGGGTCTGTGTGTCCGCAAGTTCGCCATTACCCACAAATCTCTCTCTCTCCGCTTTGCCAGCATCCGATACCCTCGACATCCCGTCCTCGACCCGCTTTGTCCCGGTATTCTCATCCGCTTCAGCCAACACCCCCTCCCCACCTTCCCCTTCCCCTAGACCTGTACCTTTATCTACCAACCCCTCGCGCCGCGCGATGTGGTCAGCGGGACAGTTCGGTACTTCCGCAATCAGATCGGCTCGCACGCGTTCCAGATACTTGGTCAGGGCCACCAGTGCATGGGTCAAGTCCTCAGGACTAGCAGAGCTTAGTTGGCTTCGTGCTTGGTCTATGATTTGTCCTCGAGCTGTTCGGTTGGCACCTTTGCGATCGCCTGCAGCGGGGGCAGGGCTGTCCTCCTGTCCTGTTAAATTGGACAGGTCAGGGTAGAGCTGTATCACTTCGGCTGGGTCTGTGGAATAGTGTTGGGTTTTAGGGTTTTAGGGTTTTAGTAAATGGACAGGACGATGAGTGCCTCTGAGTCTTGGAAGGGGTCACCATTTTACGAGAGTGGTCTAAAACGAAAGGTGGTAGGTATCGAGATATGTAAAAAGAATCGGGAATGGTGCTACAACTATGTTATCCGGTTTATAAATAACAAACTATTAATTAATATGATATTGAAGTATGAAATTAATAGAATTTAAGATTGGCATTGCTGCAACCAAAACTAAACTAATTCTCGATTAAAGGCCGAAACATACGGTTGTACACACCTGAACATGCAGACACAGACACAGACACAGACACAGACCCAGACCCAGACACAACCATATATATATGGGTATATATATACACAAATATATATTTGTAGATATATTGTGTCTATATATCTATATAATAATATAGATATAACAATATATATATATATAAATATATATATATATAATATTAATAATATATAACAATATACATAATAGTATAGACATATATATATATATGATAGTATATATATACGTAATATATATATATATATGTAAATAATAATAATAATAATAATAATACTCATATATAATAATATATATTAACAATAATAATAATAATATTAATATTAATAATAATAATAATAATAAAAATTTTATATAAATATATATATTTATATATTTATCAACTATAAAATTCGTAGGATTTTTAATAACTTTAAAAATCGGGGAAGCTCTGAAGTTTTTTGGAGTCAGGATGGAAGCATTCGTGACTGCACTCGAGAGTAAAGTCCTCGCCCGCGACGCCGAACGTGAAGAACGAATGCAAGCTGTGATTAACCTCTGTGATCAAGAACAGGCAGAGAAAGACGAAGCCCACACATCGGAGATCCAATGTTTGAAGACTGGCCTTGTATCCATGAACGAACAGGTCAATGTCAAGAAGGTAAAACACATAGATAGACGGCTAGTCTTCGAACCTTGCATCTTGGATGCGTGGGCTTCGTCTTCCTCTGCCTGTTCTTGATAACAGAGGTTAATCACAGCTTGCACACGTTCTTCACGTTCGGCGTCGCGGGTGAGGACTTCTCTACTCGAGTGCAGTCACCAACGCTTGCATCTTGACGTCGGTTTCTCCATCGACACTCGTGTTCGTCTTGATAGGTTCATCAGCCGGGGATATCCAAGTCATCCTTAGTTCGCTTAGTCGAGGGGTCTTAAGAAAGAAGGTTTCTTTGGGTGTCTTGTTCGTCGATGGTGAGGTTAAGGCCGGAACTCCCGTGGTTGGGCTGGGTGTTCATGGCGACGTTGAAGACTTTGTTGTGTTGTCTTATTCGCTGGTGGTTATGTGGACTGTTGTTCTTTGTCCTGTTTGAGTCCCTTTTTTATACGCGAAACTGGCGTCGTCTTTGTCCGCCGGCTGTCGGACTGTTGACCCCAGGCAGGAGGAGTCTAGGACTCGACTTTAAAAAACTCCAGAGCTTCTCCGATTTTTAGAGTTATTAGAAATCCTACGAATTTTTCAGTTGATATA